TCCAGCACTTATGGCAGGGGTGTCCAAACTTTTTTCAAAGAGGGCCAGATTGGATGAAGTGAACATGGTGGAGGGCCGAACATTTTTCCGAACATTCTTTGAACCATTACAATTAAATGCAAATAAATTATTTTATGCCAAGTTAATTGCAAACGACATACTTTTCATATAATAACATTCAGATCAACTGACAGCTGAGTTTTCACAATGTATTGAAAATAAATTTAAAAAAAAACTTACCTGCACTAATGTGAAGGGTGAAAAAGGTAGCTGGAGCTGAAGTCTCTGCTCGGCAGGTGGGAGGGGAAGAGAAACACACTTCACGCTGGAAGCCCGGCCCTGACGTCACCGCCCTCTGTCGCTCCCAGCGCAGCGCAGTCACGCATGCGCACTGCTCTCAAGCAGAAGACTGTCTGCCACAGAAGGGAGGGCCGTGCGACAGCCGCATTTACACAGACCAGGGAGAACGCGCCGCAGTCAGGCATGCGCACTGCCCTCTGCTCTCAAGCAGAAGACTGTCTGCCATAGAAGGGAGGGCCGTGGGAGGGCCACATTACACAGAGCAGGGAGGGCTGTTGGAGGGCCGTATTAAACCGACCCCCGGGCCGTAAATGGCCCGCGGGCCGGACTTTGGACATGCCTGACTTATGGTAATTAACTTTTGTTCAGGTTGGCATTCAAAAATGTTTGGTTTATTTTCACTTAAGCTGTTGACTTCCTTTTCTACTGTAATTTAAAGTTTAAGTAAAGGCTAATATGACTCAAGTTTATAATGTTGTTCCCCCACCGCCCCACTCATACTCATGTTGCATACTGTTCATAACATTTCTCAGTGTAAAAAAAATGTGATCACTAAGTTCTGGTTCCCCTTTTCAGTGAATATCTCAGATTTAATTTTCATTTTGAATAGTACCCCAATGCACCTGCATTGTAGCCCCCACAGAAGCATGATGGTGTATTGCACTGGAAAAAAAGGGCCATTTCAGATTTTGGAAACACTGGTGTACTATGTTAATGCAACACATGTTAATGTGCAACATAATGTGTGTAATTTAAAGTGGTTGTAAAATATATGTGTTAGGAATGGACTCAGCACTGGTGGTGGGACTCACCTGCCGTGTGGGCTGCAGTACCAGGGCTGACCAGCGGGTGCTCTCAGCAGCCAGAAGCTCACTCTTGTAGTCAGCCAACACCTGGGCTGATTGCAGGAGGTGTATTTAAAGAATGACCAGGCCTGTGATCTGGGCCTTGGTGTATGTTTCCCATGAGCCCCTGTACCTGGTATCCTGTGTTCCTGCCTCGTTGCTGACCCTGCTTTGATCCTAACCTCTGCTGACCGTCTCCTGTTGAACCCCTGGCTTGCCTGACCATCCTTCTGCCTGATCCTCGGTACCGCGCTGCTTGCTACCTGCTGAACCTGGCTTCTGACCCCGACCATTCTCTGCTTTCTCCTCCTGTACCACGCTGCCCGCACGATACCGACCCGGCCTGTCTGACTACGCTTACTTCACCCGACGATCCATCCATCCCGCACAGATCACCTTTAGTAAGTCTGCCTGCCTCTTCCCTTTCAGACTCCATTCCTGCACTCCCCTGCCAGTACTCTCTACCACAGCCGGACGCACTCAGGGGTCGCGACCTGGTTCCAGTCTGCACCAAGTCCATCCCCACCATCAGGGGCCCTGGTGAATAGCAGGCTGGGACTTAGACCCTGCGCCCTGAGGAAATCCGTGCTGTGGGCTGCTAGAGACACTGCCAGGTGGCACCTGACAGTACCTTACGGCCTGCCTGACCATTCCACCTCTCCAGCCTGACTACGCCTGTGTTCCTGAAGCCTGCTACTTCCCTGTGTCAGTCCACACATTTCTGGTCATACCCGGATCCCTGACATTACACCAAAGGCCTTCCTGACCAGAATAGGCTGCACAGGGAAACCATCTTGGCTTGTTGTGAAGGATGCATCCTGATGAGGTAGTGTATTTGTCTCTGCTGGTCTTTGATGACAGAGAGTATGCTTATCAGACTCTGAAGGAGTATACCAGGAATCAACTGCTAGAATGTATACGGGTCGCTCATGTTCTAGTAGATCAGGGCACAGAATTCTCTGAGGTGCAACCTTTGATTCAGGTTTGTGCAGAGTTGGCTTCATCTGGTACCCCTGAAAGCAGGAATGACTTTTTGCTGCCATTTAGTGCAGACCAGGTAGAGTCCCTGGTATGGTTATTGGAGGATGATGTGGATTGCTTCTTGGAGCGTTATTTTGCATGTTCACAACAGGTACTAAGGGATTGTATAAACGCAGTGCAGTCTTTGACCAGACAGGCTTTGTGTAAGTGGAGCTTTGTTCAGCCAGTACTGCAGATATGGTCAGAGTTGTTACACCCAACCTCAGTCAGCTTGCAACAAACAAGTCCTTTTTCTCATCATTTTCTCTGCTCAAAGCTCTCTTTCTGCACTCCCGACAGCACCCCCAGTGACAGCCCAGTATACCCTACTACCTACCACTTGTCCGTACCCTGCTTCCACTCGCTGCACCTATCCTGCCTTTAACCCTGTAAAGAAGTCCTCTGTAGCAACTGCTCCTTCCTTTGTTCCATCCCCAAGCTCTTCTCTGCCTACAGCTGCTCCATTTGTTTACAAACCTGCACTTACTTACAGTGCTCCAGTAACTAAAACCAGGAAAAGGCAAAAATTCTTTCCAACCAGTACCATTCTGCCAGTATCCAAACCGGTCAGTCTGCTGTCTGAGAACCCACCTTCCATGGTTCAGCCTGATACCCTGATGCCTGATGACCCAGTGTACGCTACCCGGCCTGATGGTTCTGCCCGGCCTGATGGTTCTGCCCGGCCTGATGGTTCTACCCGGCCTGATGGTTCTACCCGGCCTGATGGTTCTACCCGGCCTGATGGCTCTACCCAGTCTGATGTTCCTACCCGGCCTGATGATCCTATCATGCCAGATAACTCGGTGTCTGCTGTCGAGCCAGAGGACCTGATGCCAGATGACTCGGTACCCGCTGTCGTGCCAGATGACTCAGTGCCCGCTGTCAAGCTTGGTGACCCCGTTGCCCGTGGTTCTGCTAGATGGCTTGGGGCCCGCAGTCATGCCAGATGACTCGGTGCCCGCTGTCTTGCCAGATGACTCGGTGCCCGCTGTCTTGCCAGATGACTCGGTGCCCGCTGTCTTGCCAGGTGACTCAGTACCCTCTGTCGTGCCAGATGACTCGGTGCCCGCTGTCGAGCTTGGTGACCCGGTGCGCGCGGTTCTGCCAAATGACTCGGAGCCCGCTGTCATGCCAGATGACTCGGTGCCCGCTGTTGAGCTTGGTGACCCGGTGCCCGCGATTCTGCCAGATGACTCGGAGCTCGCTGTCTTGCCAGATGACTCGGTGCCCGCTGTCGTGCCAGATGACTCGGTACCCGCTGTCGAGCTTGGTGACCCGGTGCCCACGGTTCTGCCAGATTACTCGGAGCCCGCTGTCGTGCCAGATGACTCAGAGCCCTGTGTTACTGATCTGATTTCCTGTGTTACTGATCTGTAAAACATTTGTCATATGTGGGTGCATTTGTTGTACAAATTCACTGAATCAGTCACTGATGGATTTAAAGCGGAACTCCACCCAAAAGGGGAAGTTCCACTTTAAAGACTGGTCCCCCGCTCCCCATTAAGTAAGGATTGGCACCTTTGAGGAGCAGGGGGGGCGGATAACCCAAACCCAAACTGACAGGTACCCGCTCCCACTTCCACTGCGATCATCTTGGTGATCGGAAGTGGAAGTTGTACTCCCCCCCTCCCTTCCTGTAGTCTTCTTGGACACGTGACAGGAAGACTATGGGACCATTCACAAAGCGCAGCGGTACTTGCTCATGTGCAGTGAGCACCCGGCTGTGAAGCCATAATCTGGACGGCTGGTGAAACGGGCTGCCGGGAGGACACCGCAGGACCGAGGGACAAATGAGTGGCTGTTTTTTAACAGTCAGCAGCTACAGTATTTGTAGCTGCTGACTTTTATTTTTTTTATAATGTGACTGGAACTCCGCTTTAAGTGCACAAATGGCTGAAAAATTATATCTGTTTAAACTGTTGTTTATACATTGGATGCAACAAATATTTTGTTGCCATAGAGTTAATTCATATGATAATTTTATACTTGATATATCTAATGTTTAGAATCTCAGTACTTGAAAATGTCAAGTAAAACATTGTGACTAAATAGAAGTTAAGAGCTTGCTAAAATTACTTTTTTTCACAAATTTGACTGCCCGAGTGATACATTATACCTGTCATTCAACACTGAATTATCTTCCATTATTAGTGCAGCCTGAGAAAAAGCTGAAATATGGTGTGTTATTACCGTCATGAGATATTTCAGATGTAAGCCCCCACCTTTCCAAAATCTCTCTGCCATCATGGAATTTACCTGCCAAAACAGGGTTATAACACTAAACTCTGTATGCCGATTCAGTTGTTAATGTGCACCTTTGGAATTTTTTTAATGAACCAGTAGTTATCTCATAGTCTATTATGTTCTAGTGCAAGGTGTGTTTTTAATTTTTTTTTAATTCTTTATTTAGGACACAACTGCATTACATTTACAAACATATACAGTTTTGGTCTGTGGGTTAATAAGGCCCCAATCAAACCTGGACATTTTGTTACTAGAAGCTTAAAGTTCCAAAACTTTCAACATTTTAAATCTCAAGTACTGTATTTCACCGATGGATGTTCACATACTATACTAGCACTCAGTTGCCCAAAGCCTGATGTTCCAAAAGCTACACAAGATACTTTTGGAACAGAATGGGTTTTTTCAGCCCCCATAGACTTCAATGGGAATAGAAATCAAGCATTACTGAGTAATTTTTCAGGCACATTTTAGCAGTTTTTTAGACTGTAAGAACTGATCTCTTCCCTCTAGTGCAGGGGTATTGAATTAAAATTCAAGGAGGTCCTGTCACTAAAATTTTCTTCTGGCCGAGGTCCAAATAGGGTGTGCCCATCAGTGTGCCCCCTTACATCAGGTATCCCCATCACATTGCCACTTTACATCAGGTATTCCCATCAGAGTGCCCCCTTACACTCAAAGTACCCCTTTCTATCATATGTCCCCATCAGAGAGCCCCTTTACATCATATTTTCCATCAAAGTGCCCCTTTCCAACACATGTGCCCATCAGAGTGCCCCTTTCCACAGTATGTGCCCATTTGTGCCCCCTTAACATAAAATGGGTCAGTCAGAGTGCCCCTTAACATAAAATAGGCCGATCAGAGTGCCCCTTAACATAAAATGGGTCAGTCAGAGTGTACCTTAACATAAAATGTGCTAATCAGCGTTCCCCTTAACATAAAATGTGCCCATTAGAGTGTCCCTTAACATAAAATAAGGGGCATGCTGATGGGCACATATTGTGTTAAGGGGCACTCTGATGGGCACATTTATTTTAAGGGGCACTCTGATGAGCACATTTATATTAAGGGGCACTCTGATGAGCACATTTATATTAAGGGGCACTCTGATGGATATATGTTATGTTAAGGGGCACTCTGATGGGCACATTCTATGTTGTGCCCATTAGCATGCCCCATAACATTAAATGTGCCCGTCAGAGTGCCCCTTAACATAAAATGTGTCCATCAGAGTGCCCCTAACATAAAATAAGGGGCATGCTGATGGGCACATTTTATGTTAAGGGGCACTCTAATGAGCACATTTATTTTAAAGGGCACTATGATGGGCACATGTTATGTTAAGGGGCACTCTGATGGGCACATTCTATGTTGTGCCCACCAGAGTGCCCCTTAACATTCAACGTGCCCATCAGAGTGCCCCTGTAGGACTACACTCTACCTTGAGGGCAGACAGGAGCTGTGCCAGGATCCTTGGTGGATGCTTGTGTACAGGCAGGGAGCGGGAGCCAGAAAGACAGTGAGCTGAAAGGGGTGGGGCGCACATGTGATGTCATGTTGCAGTGACGTCCGCCCTGCTCAGCAGCGGATCTGTCATTGGAGGCTGGTAACATAATACAGAAACAGTTAGCAATATTTCCCCTTGTCTGGTGAACATGTAGGCAGGACCAACTCAACATGGACACCACTAACAGGCCTCATTACTCTATCTCTCATTAGTGTGTGTCCCCACTCCTGAAGGGAGCCATTATGGGTACCTCGTAGCACATATACAGTTCCATGGCCCACATTCTGCCTTGCCTTAACCACTTCTCAGATAGACCACAGGTAATAATAAAGGTAAGTTCAATGCATTTGCAAAAAAACTTGACTTTCCAACTTCAAGGTGGGCAACAATAGGACACACAGTTATGGTACTTGTAAGTTCAGAGCATCCAATTCCATAATACATCATTAGGTTACATATCACCCCAGAGAATTGTAGGTTCCATCTTTAGCATTTCACCCTGAAGGTTGATGGCGGTCAGCATTTTTACCACAGTTTGTTTCCAGTCATGTCCCCAATTTCAGGCCTACCCATGGTGTAGGGACCTCACCAGGTATTCCCCAGACGGGGAAATTCATAGTCTCTACATCTTTGCCCCACGAAGTAACATGGGAGCCAACTATACAGCTGAGCTCCTAACTCTTTGTACTTTCCACCTAAACTCCTCCCACTTTCCCACTCTATAACTCTCTCTATATATTTCCTAATGGAGGGCGCAACCTAGTGGCCAAAACTGGAAGTACACTAACACCAGCTTGCAGGCATGTATGTGAATGTGTTCCTTGGTTTCACTGCCCTCAAAAAAAAAAACATGGAAGGTTCATTTGTGCACAACAAAAGAGAGGTCATTTTCAATTGGTGTTTCTGAAGAGGAGAGGGTTTGCTGCATTGCTGATAGCTTTAAATTACAGAGAATCATGCATAATAGTGCCAATTTTATTGTCAAATTGGTTGTGGACAATTAGACACCATATTTTATATAACAGCCAAACTACAGCAATAGCTGTTTGTTTTTAGGTTTTTGAAAAAAATATTTGAGCTTTTATTGGTCTCTAAGGTAGTTGGGATCCTTAGATTAAGGCTTCTGGCTGTCTTCCCCTTGCATTTCCAGAAGTATTGCACCAGAGATGTCCAATTATCTTGCCCAGTGAGAAATCTGACTAGTTCTATGCATAGTGGGAATGTTGTAATTTACAGCTGAACTCCAAGCTAAACAACTGTCTATATATTGTCTAAATACAAGAGCTATGTGTATTATCACTTGTGTATTTCTTCCTAAACTGTTCAACATGAAACTACTCCTGCATTTTCCCTATGTGCAGGAAATTTCTATAAAAAAGACAAGTCACTGCTGTTCTTTCTCCTTGTGCAGGATGACTGGTCTTGTAGCTACCCCTCTGTAGTGTATTGCAGGCACTCTGTAGTGAGATGACTTTCTAAGTCACCTCTAAAGCTCCTTGAGAGCTTTTTAAACCCCTAAACACAACTCAGTATCACAAATGTATATGATATAGGCAATATAAAGTAGGTGTTTTTAACCAAGAAAAGTTTTCAGAACTTACATCAGGGTTAAGTTATATGATATAAAAATGTTTAATAGATAATTTTGTTATATTAAACAAATGTAACTAGAACTGTATTAGTATAAAGGCATTTTGTTTTGTGTCTACCCTTTCACAAATTCAAATTATAAAATATCATAAGAGATTATTTGGAAGCCATTAAAGTCTTTTTTGAGTTGACATTTCAAAGTGGTATTTAAAATATGATCCATTCAGTCAGTAGAGATACTGATGATATTTAATCTATTTAACCTTAAAGATTGATAAGATGTAAAAAATTATTGTGAAAATAGTTTATTAAGTAATAGATGCAGTGATTTTATGCGCCTAGTGCATCAAATGCCAGTTTCCATATGTATATAATATTCCAAGTGCAGTTGCGTGCTAATTGCCTACTAATTAACACTTGATCTATTAGAAACTAGTAGAGATATTTGAAAGGTATGGTGTTAATTACAAATGTTTTTTACAGATGTCTTGAAATGAATCGTGTTGATATTGTAGGATCAATCAGGTGCTAATTGTGTATTCTTGCAAAATTAGCAATAAACATCTTTTGAAGAATGGGCCCAAGATCCAAATAGACTAGTGTCCCCATGATTGTTCTCATGGCTTCATTATGTGGGCCCCAAACCATTGTTAGGCCTTGTTCACATGGAACTATTACATCCATGCTCCTTGCAAGGCTGTGTTTTATACTGGCATGGAGATGCAAAGGTGTTGCGTGCATCCTCATGCTGGTAGTCCCATTAATGTCTATTTAACACACTGACACTGTGTACCAACATGATATCCTTGTGGGTACCGGTGTGTGTCCCCAAACTCATGTCCCCTAACCCCCAAACTGGTGTCATATTTGTCCACAGCAGCTGGGTCTGTGTCCCTATAGACATGAATAGGACCGCCGGCACAGAGATGCACACAGCACCTAGGCATCCCTATGGCAATAAAACACAGCCCTGCATGTGACACGGATGTAATTAACCAATTGGGATGAGATCTTACCAACCCAGTCAACGTTTAGCATAGTTTGGCTTTCTAAAGAACAGAACCTTAAAAGGGTACTGTGCTAGACTGCCTGGCACCCCATTTGAGTGCCTCCATCAAAGAACTGCTTCTTCACCGCTGGAACACAGGAACTAGGTATTATAGCTGGGAATTGCGCCCAAGAACTGGACGACACTAGCTTAGGTGCAACCAGGAAATTTCTTTACTGTCAAACCACACAGAATTTATACCACACAAAATCAGGTAAGAGCTTGATCACATGATCTTAAACAATGCAAGCTGTAAACAGTAATATCATAAGTACATCTAATGAACAGCCAACAGTGTTCTACTTAACAGTAAGCTAATCAACAGCTAGCAACTAACATCTAACAGTGATGTAATCAAATAGTACAATACACATGCTGCCTTTCAAGTACTTGTGTAATCTGTCCACTAGAAATGTAATCATAAGAAAAGTAGAATTCATTTATCTTCATAGATTTCTTGAGGGAGATTGTTGACAAATATTTATGTCCCCAGTGGAGGAGCTTCTCCAACCTAATCTGCAGGAGGGCCCAACATTTCCTCTGACCATCAACCTGTACAAAGGGTAATTTTACACATTTCCATCCACTTCAGAAGGGAAGCTTTATTGCCTTTATTCAGAGAATAATCCAAGCCTCACTTTCAACATTCATCACAGTAGTATCCATCATCACAGACTGATCCATGTGATTAGAAGCTGAACTGAGCTCTTTTCCATGCTTTGACTGGGAGAAATAGACAAAATCCCCAGTCTCCTCCATGGGCCTTAATCAGTGGGTAGAAGGCTAGCCCCTAGTCCCCTCCAAAATCCCCTGTCCTGGTTGGGTCTGTCACAGGTTCTCCTGCTGGTGCAAGAGGTAGTCAGGATGTCAGGAATGGACTAGCCAGCAATGGTGGGACTCACCTGCCTTTTGATCTGCAGTACCAGGGCTGGCCAGCGGATGCTCCCAGCAATCAGAGACTCAACTTTGCAGCCAGCTAACACCTGGAACTGATTATGCTGGGGTATTTAAGGGATGGCCAGACTTGCAGACTCTGCCTTGGTGTTGTGTTTCTCTTGGGCCCTGTATCCTGTTCCTGCTCTCTGTTCCTGTCTGATTCTCTGCTACCTGTTCTGATCCCTGGCTTGTCTGACCATCCCTCTGCCTGACCCTCTGTACTACGCTGCCTGCTACCTGTTCTGATCCCTGGCTTGTGACCCTGACCATCCCTCTGCCTGACCCTCTGTACTACGCTGCTAGCTACCTGCTGAACCTGGCCTGTGACCCCGACCAATCTCCGCTTGCTCCCCCTGTACCTACCTGCCCAATTGATATTGACCCGGCCTGCCTGATGACGCTTGCTTGTATGTACTGTTATCTGTGGGTGGTTGGTTTGGTTTGTTTGCACTGTATTATGTTTAGTATTGCACTGCGTTTATGTTTGTATTGTTAGTGTTAATAAACTATATTGTTTATCACATATCTGAAGTCTGCGTTTCCCTGCGTCAGTCACACACCTCTGGTCACACCTGGGAGCCCTGACACAGGAATTGCTTTCACTGGTGATAGGATTAAGAATTACCCTTCCCTGGTCAACAATAGAAATGAATAGAGTGATTTCAATACAATTAATTTTGTCACTACAAATTACACATTTTGCCTTCATCCCATTAAGCTAAAAAGTTTACTGGAAAAAAAATTATCAATAAAGCCATGTGATCCCAATGTCAAAGCTGACATAGCTTTATTGATAAACACATTTCAGTGTTCTGCTCTGTAGGCAGCCAGAATGTATTAGTTGTTATTACCTGGTTGCCCTCATATTAGCACTGGCAGCTGCCAAAGGCCAGACATGAAGATGTTTGGACCAGAGGTAAGTGTAATGCACATAATTACATCTACTGCGACGTCATGTAGTAACCTCTAAAACCTGGAATTCTTCTTCTTTCAGTGCAATTTATTTAATTGCACATAGATAAAATATTAGTTTTATATTTTCGGTTTCAATATTTTTATTAAGAAAGTTTTGTTTTAAGAATACAACAAGCTCAAGATATGCACGCAGGGGCAGAGCAGAACAATGACACAAACAGATACATCCTGCTAACTTGTATTAGCCAAATAACGAAATGTCCAATGACATCAAGGAGGGACCGCAAAAAGCCGAACCAAACAATAGCAGCAGTAATCCAACATATTATTGGAAAAAGAAGAGGAAAGAAAAAAAGGTTAGAAGAAAGGAAAAAAAAAAAAAAAAAAAAAGGAAGCAGAAAGAAAACATGGAGGAAAGGGAAACTAGAAGAATCACAGTTCCATGGCTAGCACAGATAGTGACTATAAGAGGCCATAACTAGTAGGAGGCAGGGATGGCAAGGAATAATGTATCCAAGGTTCCCAAACCTTAAGGAATATCGGATGAGAATCATGAAGAATGCTAGACATCTGTTCATTAAACAACATAGCATTCATCCGGGTCTTCACCCCCTGGAGGACAACCGAAGGGGTTCTCCAAGCTTGAGCTATAGCACGTTTGGCTGAAATAAATAGGTGGAATGCCAATTTCTGCTGAGACCTAGACAGACCCAAATTGGGCAATGCAAGAGGGCCACCCTTGCATCCCTATGGACCGTAATATGAAATAGCGTTTGTAGCAAACCAAAAACCCTAGACCAGAAGCCTATCAATCGTGGGCACGACCACCAAATGTGCAAGACCTCCCTGCGTAGGCCACACCTATCTCCGCCAGTCAGATTAAAGTGAGCAGTCTGAGCCAGGACCCAGTACCACCGCAGGAGAACTTTGTAGGCTGCCTCAAGAGTGACTGTATTGAATGAACATTTCGCCACCATCCCCCAGGCCAATTCTCCACTGCAATCGAAACACCCAGGTCTCGCTCCCATTGAGAGACATAAGAGAGGGGTGGTGAGGAGGACCTACTGTTAAGGGAGGCATAAATTACAGAAATGAGACCAGGGGACCCTGGAGAATACCAAACAATATGGTAGTGTGACAAGAGCACCCCTACCTGAAAACAGAAGGTTACTAAATGATCCACGCGGAGTAATATGAATCCGCGTGGATCATTTTGTAACCTTCTGTTTTCAGGTAGGGGTGCTCTCGTCACACTACCATATTGTTTGGTATGCATTTTCTGGGTTTATGGATCCACACTTATACAAGTGAGTCGGAGATATGATAATGACACCAGTTATTCGTGTCATTTTAGGTGGCTTGTTTCTGCTCTATTTTTGTGACCCTGGAGAATGCTGACAAGAGTGTTCAAAGGCGTTTTGCGGTAAGGGTATGTAGAGGTACGACGGAGGGATAGGACCCAGTAGTGCAATTGGAAATACCGATAATATTTCAGTGGTCATCTTGACAGCATGTATCTGGCCAATCCATGATAAAGAAGGAAACTGCTAAGAATGAAGCAGGGAAGTAACAGAGCGCAATAAGTGGTAATAATTAGCTGAAAATATTGCAGAATAGGAGGAAGTAAGTGTAACACCAAGATAAGCCAGAGAATGGGATGCCCAATGGTAGGGAAATTGTGTCTGCAGCCGTTCAACCAGGTCATCAGGGAGCGTAATATTCAATACCGTGGTTTTGGACAAATTGATGCGAAGACCAGATATAGTAAACAAAATGGTCCAATATGACCTGGAGATTGGGGAGAATGATGAGAGGATTAGTTAAAACCAAAAAGGCATCATCTGCATAAAAGTTGGCCTTGTATTGACTGCCGGCATAGGGGATGTAACAGCGTATATCCAGAGATAGACGTGGTTCAACCATTTTGGCTTCAATCTCCATCTTGGCAAAGGCATTAACCATCCTGACAAACATATTTCTCCCTCATTCTTCCCCCCCCCTTTCTGAGAGGCCCAGCGACATTTGGCCAGTATGTGTGTGAGTTAGGATTGTCACAGGAGGGTCATAGGAGCTATAAAGCCCCCCAAGGGAGTTGGGGCCTCCTTGTCCAAAGAACCTGCAAGTTGTAACACCTCGGAAGAGATAAGGCAAGCTTTCCCAGGAGCTGAAAGAGATTCCAACCTAATAAACCTAACTCAGCATATGTGACAGAATCAGATAACCACTTTTCAAAATCCATTTTGCCCCTATGTCACATATCTTGGCATATGATAGACTTACATAAAAACTGGACATATCATCAGATTGGCCACGAGAAGGCAAACAGTTTGGTAGGTCACTTGCATTGTCTCGCATACATAGGAAAGCCGAAGCATAGTGTTAGGAATGGACTTGCCAGTAATGGTGGGACTCACCTGCCTTGTGGGCTGCAGTACCAGGGCTGGCCAGAGGGTGCTCCCAGCAATCAGAGACTCAACCCTGCAGCCAGCCAAACATCTGAAACTGCTTATGCAGGTGTATTTAAGTGATGGTCAGACCTGCAGTCTTTGCCTTGGTGTGTGTTTTTCCTGGGCCCTGTATCTTGTTCCTGCATCCCTGTTCCGGTTCCTGTCTCTGTCTGATTCGTTGCTGACCCTGCCTGATCCGGACCTCTGCTGACTTCTCCTGTTTTATCCCTGGCTTGTGACCCGACCATTCTCTGCCTGACCCCCTGTACCTACCTGCCCGATTGTTATTGACCCGGCCTGCCTGACGACGCTTGCATTGTATGTATTATCTGTGGGTGGTTTGGTTTGGTTCGTTTGCACTGTGTTATGTTTTAGTATTGCACTGCGTTTATGTTTGTATTGTTAGTCTTTAATAAATTATATTGTTTATAACTTATCTGAAGCCTGCGTTTCCCTGCGTCAGTCACATACCTCTGGTCATACCCCGGAGCCCTGACACATAGATCTCGTGAACCGTGCAGTGTATAATTTCATAATTCATATCTAATCAATCCTCAGACGTGTCTGCCTAATAATCTACCCGCAGGTGGAATGTCACTTGTGCATAGGAAAAGTTATGGGCCAAAATATGAGTTATGGGAGATTTAGGCTTTAGTTGAGGTATCCGCCCATACCTACATGCCCTAAACAGGGTATTGGTCCTTGACTTCAGAGACACCCCCTGCTGGGGACTACACAATAGGCTGTCAGGCCGAAGAGTGGAGTTGAAGATGTCTCCCATTTTAACATCAATACCACCTGGGGAGACCCATGCCCTTTTGTTCTGAACTTGGATCTGCTAACCCAGGACTTTGGCAAGTACCATAACCCTTTCACCTCTCTCTGATATCTCTTTGCTGTGCTGTTAGTCTCTGTATGTTTATATATATATCTTAGTTACATCTTTTTCTGTAAATATTTTTATTGCACCCGTTTGACCATTTAGTAATAAATCTTTCCTTCTGAAAGTGTTGAACTATTTCTATACCTCTGTATTGCAATTTACGAATTCCTGCCTCTAAAGACGCTACTGTGTGTGTTTAACCCTCTGCATAATCGGCCTGCTGTGACCATATTATGCAGACGATTATCTCAACCATTATAGTGTTTTAGCTGATATTGCCGAGTTTCCTCTTTCTCTGTACAAAAAGGAGGTGGTGGCAGTGTGAAGGGTTAATTGCGTAATTAACCTGACCCAGTAACAATCGCTCAGGATGCCGGTACATCGATTGTGGTCCAATTAGCTGGAAAATCGTTGTGCAGGGTGCAGCTGGGTGTGGCATTGTTACGCACGTGACATCGCGGTTTTAGATTGGCTAGTCCTTTGGTCACGAGTTTGGTGAGAAGGGCTGGGGTCTTTTGCCGCAATCGTGACAGGGGACACCAGAAATATTCGGGTGATTTCGAATGGCTGCAGCTAAAGGTTCAAGAGCGAGAACAAAAAGAGCAGGTGATAATGGGTATCCCTGTCTCGTGCCCCTGAAAATAGGGAAAGATGAGGAAAAAAACCCTGCATATTTAACAGAGGCCGAGGGAGACGAATATAAAGCTGAGATCCAAGCCAGACATGCATCACCAAACCCCCATCTAGACAGTGTATATGTCAAATATTCCCAAGAAAGTGGATCGGACACTCTATAAATGTCCAGGGATAAAAGGAACCCTGTTATCCTGCAGCGATATAAAATATGAATGAGATGGATGACTTTAAGGGTGTTATCAGAAGCTTGTCGCCCCGTAATGAAGCCAACCTGATCTCGATGAATAAGTGAGTGTAGATACTTATTAATTCGGGTGCTCAGAACCTTTCCCAGAATCTTCAAGTCCACATTTAGCAGCGAGATCGGTCTGAAAGCTTGCGGTTCAAATGCATCTTCAGTTTTCTTAGGGATCATAGTAATATGCGCCTGAAGAGACTCCAAAGACAGCCGGGAACCCTGCTTCAAAGAATTGAAAAAGGCCGTCAAATGAGGAACCAGAATTGTGGCAAATTTTTTTATAGTAGAGCCCAGAAAAAACCCATCTGGGCCTGGAGCCTTGGAGGCCTTCAAAGATTTGATGGCTTGGTAGAGTTCAGTTTCAGTGGTATCCGCATTAGGGCATCTCGGGCTGCAACGGATAAAGGGGGTAGGTGCAGCTCAGCAAAAAAGCTATCAGCATGTTCAGCGGCTAAGGTGTTTGGTTTTTGGTAAAGAGTAGAGATGAGCGAATCGAACCAGGCGAACCGGAATTCGAGTCAAATTTCAGGAAATATTCGATTCGCGACGAATCCGAAATTTTGCCTACTTCGGGTGCGCAAATCGAATATTTCCCGATCAGCCGGCAAAAGTGTCCCTGCAGTGAGCTCCGCTATTTCTGACAGTTCTCTGACAGAAGGAACACATGTTTAGCGGTTGAAACATTGTATCTATTAGTTTCCATTTAGGATACAGATGTTTCAACCGCTGTACATGTGAAGAAGCTGTCAGAGAACTGTCAGAAATAGAGGAACTCTGCACATACACTTTTTGCCGGCTTGGAATTATTCTTATTTTCATCCTACTTCTTCTTCTTCTTCTTCTTCATCCTCATCCTCATCCTCTTCTTCTGAGGATGAGGATGAAGAAGAAGAAGAAGAAGAAGAAGAAGTAGGATGAAAAATAAGAATAATTCCAAGCCGGCAAAAAGTGTATGTGCAGAGTTCCTCTATTCTGCAGATACACTTAGAGGAGCTCTGCACATACACTTTTTCCGGCTTGGAATTAATCTTATTTTCATCCTACTTCTTCTTCTTCTTCATCCTCATCCTCATCCTCAGAAGAAGAAGAAGAGGATGAGGATGAAGAAGAAGTAGGATGAAAATAAAAAATAATTCCAAGCCGGCAAAAAGTGTATGTGCAGAGTTCCTCTATTCTGCAGATACACTTAGAGGAGCTCTGCAGATACACTTAGAGGAGCTCTGCACACACACTTTTTGCCGGCTTGGAATTAATATTATTTTCATCCTACTTCTTCTTCTTCTTCTTCATCCTCATCCTCAGAAGAAGAGGATGAGGATGAAGAAGAAGAAGAAGAAGAAGAAGTAGGATGAAAATAATTAATTCCAAGCCGGCAAAAAGTGTATGTGCAGAGTTCCTCTATTCTGCAGATACACTTAGAGGAGCTCTGCACATACACTTAGAGGAGCTCTGCACATTCACTTTTTGCCGGCTTGGAATTAATCTTATTTTCATCCTACTTCTTCTTCTTCTTCTTCATCCTCATCCTCAGAAGAAGAAGAAGAGGGCATGAGGATGAGGATGAAGAAGAAGAAGAAGAAGTAGGATGAAAATAAGAATAATTCCAAGCCGGCAAAAAGTGTATGTGCAGAGCTCCTCTAAGTGTATCTGCAGAGCTCCTCTAAGTGTATCTGCAGAATAGAGGAACTCTGCACATACACTTTTTGCCAGAAACCGCTGTATGGAGGGAATGTCCCAGAACTGTCAGAAATAGACTATTTATGACAGTTTCTGGGACATTCCCTCCATACAGTGGTTGAAACCGCTGTATGGAGTGAATGTCCCAGAACTGTCAGAAATAGACTATTTCTGACAGTTCTGGGACATTCCTTCCATACAGCGGTTGAAACATTGTATCTATTTGTTTCCATAAATGGATCCATTTATGGAAACAAATAGATACAATGTTTCAACCGCTGTATGGAGTGAATGTCCCAGAACTGTCAGAAATAGTCTATTTCTAACAGTTCTGGGACATTCCTTCCATAACTGTCAGAATGGAACTTCGTCCCATAACTGTCAGAAATAGACTATTTATGACAGTTCTGGGACATTCACTCCATACAGCGGTTTGAAACCGCTGTATGGAGGGAATGTCATAGAACTGTCAGAAATAGACTATTTATGACAGTTCTGGGACACTCACTCCATACAGCGGTTGAAACATTGTATCTATTTGTTTCCATAAATGACATTCTGCAGATACACTTAGAGGAGTGCTGCAGATA